AAACCCGTAGGAGGGTCTGTGATGGGTTGGTTCCGACTCTACAGTACACAAGATGAAGTAGAAGTGTAGTGCAGTGTTTGGGGCTGTTAACCAAAAGGTCTGTTACTTGAATCACCACCAGATGTTCCAAAAACCAAAGAGACACTCTCCTCTTGTGAAGATGAACACCTTCAGAAACAGGGCAGAGGGTCAGAATTAATTAAAAGGGCAGCAGCTTTGTTTTCTGATATAAAGAATCTCAAAACTATTTCATTATCATTTGTGGGTTGTTTTGTGGTTTTTTTTTTAATTGAGCTTCTGCTGTGCTCCTATCCACACTGACTGACCTAAAGATACATTTAAAGATAAAGCTCACATCAGTCCAGAAGGTGCAGCTGCAGAGGAGCTAACTGCTTGAGGACCCTTTGCGAAGATGCTGTCTGTGTGTGTTGTCCGGTTGCGGCCTGCGCCCTTCCTTGGAGAGCCGGGCTGGTCTCAAGAAATGTTTTCGGGTCATCCAAACCAGGTCTACTTAGAAAGCAACAACTTCAAATTCTTGGTGTGGATGACAGAGTAGATTTGATATACATTGTATCATCTCTGTTTTGAGGTCTGGTGGCATAATCTTAGTGTATGTCACTCCAGCAAAATGATTTCATGTTTCTGGAAGTTTGAATCTACCACTAGCTCTTTTGGAGAAAGATGAACAGTTTACCTTCCATCACGATTTACAGCCTTCATTGCTTCAAGGATCCTCCATGCCTCTAACGCATGTCTTCAGAAGACTGACACTGCCGAGGTGTCCTCTATTTTTGAAGAGTGAATTCTTGGAGCTGATACTTCTGTTGACCTTGAAAAGACTGGGTGCGTCTTGAGTATTGGTGAAGGTATTGCCCGAGTACATGGGCTGAGGAATGTTCAAGCAGAGCAAATGGTAGTTTTATTCAGGCTAAAGGGTATGTCTCTGAACTTGGAACCTGACAATGTTGGTGTCATGTTTGGGACTGACAAACATTATGGAGAGGACAGGGGCCATTGTGGACATCTCAGCTTGTCAGGAACAGCTGAGTCATGTAGTAGATGCCCTTGGTAATGCCACTGATGGAAGCGGCCCAATTGGCTCTTTGACTCATAGGCGAGTGGGTTGAAAGCTCCTGGAATCATTCCTTGAATCTGTGTGTGTGAACCAGTGCCAACTGGCTTTAAGGCTGTGGATAGTTTGGTGCCAACTGGTCGTGGTCAGCGTGAACTGATTATCAGTGACCAAAAGTGGCAAAACCTCAATTGCTATTGACACAATCATCAATCAGAAACACTTCAGTGATGGGACTGATGAAAAGAAGCTGTCCTGTATCTATGTTGCTATTGGTCAGAAGTGGTCCACTGTTGCCCAATTGGTGAAGAGACTCACAGATGTAGATGCCATGAAGTACACAATTGTGTTTTCAGCCCTGCTTCTGATGCTGCCTCTCTGCAGTACCTGGCTCCTTAATCCGATTGTTCTATGGGAGAATGTTGGAGAGACAATGGCAAGCATGCGCTGATCATCTATGACAACATCCAGACAGGCTGTGGCTTACCGTCAGATGTCTCTGCTGCTTCGCCGACTGGGAGGCCTTCCTGGTGATGTGTTCTACCTGCACTCCCATCTGCTGAATAGAACAGCCAAGATGAATGATTCTTTCAGTGGTGGCTCCTTAACAGCTTTACCAGTCACTGAAACACAAGCTGGCGATGTGTCTGCATCTATACCAACAAACAGTATCTCTATTACTGATAGACAGATCTTCTTGGAAACCAAATTGTTCTCCAAAGGTACCTGACCTGCCATTAACATTGGCTTGTCTGTGTCCCGTGTGGGTCTGCTGCACAAACCAGGGCCATAAAGCAGGGGGCGGGCACCATGAAGCTGGAACTTGTGCAGTATTGTGAGGTTGTGGCTTTTGCCCAGTTTGGTTCTGACCTTGACAGCTGTCACTCAGCAGCTCCTGATTTGTGGTGTTCATCTGACAGTTACTGAAGTAAGGACGGTATTCTTCCATGGCTGACATCTATGCAGCAGTAAGCAGGTATCCTGATAAGTTTGAACCCAGCAAGATCACAAAGTTTGAGAATGCTTTCTTTCTTTTTTTTTACCAACGGATAGTTAATTTATTAAAATAGTTGATTTAGGCATCTGCAATGGTGACTTCAACCTCTACTCCAGGCTCAATGCTGATGGAGGTGATCTGCTTGACAATCTCAGAAGGACTGTGTAAATCAATGAGTCGCTTGTGGATCCTCATCCGGAAACGATCCCAGGTCTTGGAACCTTCCCCACAAGGAGTCTTCCCTGTAGTGATTCTCAGAGTCTTGGTAGGCATCCTGACCGGTCCCTTCACCTTCAGGTTCTTCTCCTTTGCACCTCTGATCAAGTCGGCACACACCTTCTCCAGGGATTTTACGTTGTGGCTGGTTAGGGTAATCCTAATTCGGTGAATGGCCACCTCCGGTTCCACAGGTGTCCTTCCGGTGTCCTTAAAAGCCATGGCTGCGGCACGGCTTCCTGACCGACTTGTTCCCGGGAGAGAGCGAACAGCGGTGAGTCAGGAGCAGGAGCGGGAGAACACCGCACGCCTGCAGGAGCGACCGCGTCTTCCTTAGAGAGGAGAATGCTTTCTTAATCTCATCATCAGCCAGCACCAGGCCCTACTGGGCAACATCTGAGCTGATGGGAAGATCTCAGAACAGTCAGATGCAAAGCTGAGAGACTATAACAAACTTCTTGACTGGATTTGAAGCTTAAATTCCTTTGGACTCGTATCAAATACCAGTTTTGTTACTGTTTATCCTAGTAACTTTTTTCATTTGTAAAAGGATTACTTGCATTGAAGTTTCATGTGGCTAAGAAAAAATAGATAAGGCTCCCAACTTCAGAGAACTCACACATAAGGGAAGGTGAGGGGAAAGACAGACACACACGCACACGCGCATATACCGAGTCGATTCTCATTGTTCTGGAGTCTGTATTTGCAAATTTATTTGTAAGTGTCAGTCAATATTCCCAGAGCTTTCAGGGTCATTCACAGACATGCACATGCACAGAGCCATGAAACAGCTAAACTGCTTGGTGCACACGACTGGTTTCATTTTCACTAAATCAGTGTTTGTGAGGACTTTATAGACTCTACCTTCCATAACTAATGAGAATGGACTGTATCCATAAAAAACAGAGTGTGAATCCTACACTATATAAATTTAGACTGCTTGAATTCAAATCCTGCCCCTGTCACTTAGTAGCAATGTAATGTCAAACAAGCTGCTTCATCTTTCTTACTCAGCCTCTTACACCTGTCAGATGAGTGTGTTGTATTGCTATGTCTTGGTGAGTTGATCCTTACAGAAAGCCCATCTGACAGAGGAGAGGTGCCCCACAGTTTCCACGGTTGTTGCCTCTATGGGAGCAGTGCGCCAGGTCTTTTCTCCCACAGAATCACTGGTGGACTAGAAATTGCTCACCTTTTGGTCTGAAGCCAAGGGCTTATCCATTGTACCACCAGGATAAGAATAGTAATTCCTCCTGGAGTTGTCATGAGATATCTTAAACAAGATAACCATAAAACAATTAAATTTATGCAAGTATTTTAGCAATTTCTTGGTGATCACTGTATCCTGAATTCCATGCCTTTCCTCTTGGTGGTGTCTTTTTTTTTTTTCTATCCTCCCCCAAAATAAAGCCTTCAATAAGTCAATTCTCAAGTATGAGGATCCAAGTGGGAGAAAGGTGGAAGCAGAGAAGTGAGGCGGGGTTAATCATAGGGTTGCACAATGGATGGGTGGGGGTGGGGGTGAAAGAAATGGGAAAGATTCAGTGGAAAAAACAATGTATTGAACTTTGTAAATAACCAGTATAAAAAGAACAATAACTCAATTATCTTCATTTTCATATGTCAAAAGAAAATGTTTTTCTTCTGCTCCCAACCTTACAGTTGGGCTTCGTACGAAGCTGCACGTCGGTCTTTCCTTTTCCTGAGCAGTTTGAAGATGACACTCACCATCTCCTGGACTCTCTGATCAGAAGTCTGTAATCAGTGGAACAGCTGTCTCTTAGTGTGTCTTTTCTCACTGGCAGAACACCGCCATCTAAGGAGATTTTGCATGGATGCATATGTTTATTGCCTGAGTTATCACACCACAGAAGATGTCTAGTAATGAAGTCTGGAAGAGGATTATGCCATCTCCTCCCTCACAAAGAAGCATGCAGGAATGCAAGGCCGTTGTAACTAAACAGACAGTCCATGTGGAAGTATAACCAAGTAGGGCATAAATCTGCCTTCATAAGAATCCAAAAGCCTGCATGAAATTATATCAGAACTTGCTGAGGGTCTGGACTTTCCCTTTTAAACTCTCCCATATATTTTTCCCCCAGATACTTTGCTTCCAAATTCATAAAGTAGAATTACTATGTATTTTGAGCAAATGAGGCAGTTATGCTAGAACAATGTATTAATTTTTAAAAAAACTTATTCACTCCTGGAAATTTTTTATCTGTTTTTTTGTAGATTTCTAAAAACATATGGCAAAGAAAAGGTTCTTTTTGTAGTTGTAGTTGCATAAAAATTTGGCTTCTTTACTTATCTCTGATCATATGTTTGGCTTGAAATACATTAATATGACTAACAATTTCAGTTATCTAACAGGGTCTTTCCAAATGCTCACAGAGAACCGACTTCCCAGGTAGGCGGCCCCCAGTAGTCTTTCAAGTCAGTCCCACAAAATGTATTTGCATAGGAAGAATAAGAAGCATGCCATTTGTTTTTCATTACATAAACATCACTGATGGCTACCTAACTGACACATGTAATTTAAAAAAAAAAAGTCTGTGAGAAAAAGCACAATCATGTCATTGAGTGTCATTTTAATTCTAATAATTAAAAAAAGAAAGCTAGAAATAATGCAAAACTACAAAGTGAGAATGGCCTGAGTGCTAAGACGGCCTATGTCTCTTGCTACAAAGTAGTTGCCAGTTTTATCTGAGAATTTAAAAAGAATGACAGGAATTAAAGGGTTTTGGATGATTTCATGAAAACTTCCCCGAAGGAGGTGGAGGACCAAGAAATCCACCAGCTTGCTTGGTGGCAGCTCGTGAAGGGGCAAGGCCAAGAATCTTCTGTATGTTCTGAGGAGAAAATAGGAGAAGAATTGTGCTTTAGACATGAGATATAGAGAAGTCTTTTAAATTTATATCAAAGGGAATACATACAGAATAAAAGTAACATTATGACCTAAAATAGGACAATTACTACTGTATTATTTTTTTAAAGGCTACTATGTTTATAAAAATAATAGACCAGTAAAAGCCTTATTATGCATGATGGGAATTTTGACTGCTAGCCAGAGAAGCAGGTTTCCTAAAGAGGTATTCTTTCATCTTAACATTAAATACATAAAATACATTAATAGCCATTTCTTATTAGCAGAAGTTAAATAAATATATATATAAATATATGTGTGTGTGTGTGTGTGTGTGTGTATAAAATTATGATATATATTAAAAAATAAAATTAGGGAGCTAGTGGTGAAAGAACTTGAGATTTTCAAAGTAATAGAAGTTAAAATCCTGCTAGACTTTTTAAAAATTTATTATTAATTTCAATGAAAATTTACAGAGACTTTGGATTTCCATTCATTCATTGTTGCACTTTTCTCCCTTCCCAACCCTCCCCCCTACTACATTACCCTCTGGAAAAGTAAAATTCTTTCATTGTTTTACATTCCCTCCCCCCATGTCCACTCCACTATGCAGCCTTCGCTCTGGACTCCTGTCATGACAAAAATACCTAATCACATATCCCTTTTAAACAGTTTTCTCCCTCATCTGTTTCAATGCCATATACATTATTGAACCCATCTTTCTCAGCCTCCTCCCAACCCCAAGGTCAGTCCTGTTTTACAACAGTGGCACCATAATCCTGCTGGACTTTAAAAAATCACCTTCCAATCTTTGTCAGTTGTCTTATCCATTTCTAATTCTATTTCATTTTTAGAAGCTCATCTTTGCTAATTATTTTCAAACTTGCTCAGTTCTCATAAAAAAAAACAATTTCTAAACTAAGATTTTTACCAGTTAATAGGCATTCCATAGAGTTTATAAAATAACAAAGAAGATCAGCATCAACAGCATGAAAAAGAGAAGGATAAACACAATTGAGTCTTGAAAGGCGATGATTCTACTTGGTGGGAGTAAACAAGCACAAGTGTACAAGTGAAAGCTGTCCTCAGTGCACGATATGCTATATACAGACATGAGGATCAATGGAAATGTTTCACAAAGGAAAGGAAGAGGTTTATGTGAAGGCATTAAGTAGAAATCAGTGGTTAAGAGTTAATACAGCATTTTAGAGATTATCGGATTCTTCCTGCTCAAGTCCTTATTTTATATTTGTGAAAACTAAAATTTAGAAAGGTAGATTCCTTGTATCAAATTATAGACCTAAAGTAAGAATAGTTAGAATTAAAACTTATCATGTTTTGACTCTAAACCTAATAATCTCTTACACAGTACTTCCTATGAAAATTCTCATCTTCAGAACAAATACACTCTGTGAAGGGCAGCACAGCACATATGTAGACAATCATTTACTAGCTATTGAGTGTTGTTATACATAGATTCTGTGAGATTACCTATTGCTGTTATGTGCCGTTGAGTCATTTGCGACTCATAGCGACCCTATGTACAACAGCCCTAAACCCTGCTCTATCCTGTGCCAATCGCATTGCCTCTGA